AGATGTGCCGGTACATTGCGGAGGCTGTGACAAATAGATAGATACGTAGATGGAGAGATCGATCGATCGATCTTCAGATTCAGTAGAACACGTAAACAGGTCGAGGACAATGGGGGGGGGGAGGTTTAAGAGGGGAGGAACAAAGAATAGATGGATGTCTCAATTGACGATGAATGAAGGGTGAAGGAACCGTCGAGTTGAACATTTTCGCGTCTCGACGAGAAGTTTCCGCGCGCTTGAGAGCCCTCGAAACTTTTCAATAAAGTGTAAACTTACTTTCCATACGTCTCGAATGACAAAGTTCGTTCTGCTGCTATCGTTTTTCGAAGGAATTTACGGGTGCTCGAAAGACGTTCCCGAGGGCGTTGTCGATAATCATTTTTGATGCGCTTTGGAGAAGTTCCTGGCGTAATCCTGCTTCGCTTGTGACAGGATTCGCGTGAATGTTAGAAGTCGCAGGCGTAGTGCAAATTACTCGAGCTGTATGCTTGTACGCAGATAAGTCTCGAAATATTTTTAGATTTACCTAAAGATTTCCAAAAAGTACACTGAAAAAAATATACTAAATTTTAATAAATCATTTGTTTGAATAGTATAATTAATTAAACACACTTATTAAATATAAAAATATATTTATTTAGTGTACAAAAAACACTTGACTTAACTATTATTTCTTTTTATTCAGTAAATACTGTAAGTATTTAGTTGGCACTGTTTAGATAAATATTAAAATTTAGAATATTTTTTCTCATTGCACAATAAGAAATTTTCAAATTTGTTTAAAAGCCCGAAATCGTAACCATTTGTATTATGTTACGATACAAATTTTACATACCTACAATATTTTATGTGCCTGCAATTTAACGCAACAACGAAGGCGAACGTTCTTCTACAGAAATTCTGTGGCAATTAAATGCTACCTTGTCAGCGTAAACTATCTGTATAAATAATTCGTACCTTAAACAAACATTTTCCCTAATAAAATGTGCCCTTAGCGCTCAAAACCGCGAGACTGTTTCCTAGTGTGAAGAACGTGGGCGTAATAAATAATATCTTTGTGTCCATCTTGTTTCCATATAACGAGCTCTCCTCGTTATACGTTATTCTCTACGAGACGGTGCTCTCCGCCGAGTCTCGCACTCTAACGGCCGACACTGCCGCTAATTGCCGCTCCGTATAATTACCATATCGGAGAAATAAATACAGAGCTCTTACGCCTTCTACGGCCAACGAGACAGCACGCCGACATTACATCCGCGCCGTTTAAAGTCTCGGAAAGATAGCGCGGGGGAGTGATAAAATATGGACTTCGAACACATGAGTTAGGCAGCGAAGATTCTAACGAAATCATCTATTCGTCAAACTGTCTTGTTTTGTATTAATAAATGTTTCGATTCCTCACACGCCTTTAGTATCATCTTTTGCAGCGATTTGTCTACCGGACTGTTTGAGAAGCAAAAAAAAAAAGAGATCAAAGCGTTGTAAACTCTAGCATTTAGAGCAGAGAAAAGAAGAAATTCACATTGTAGACGTTGTAGATTTACGACAGCCCGAGATTTATGTAGCTACGCTATTAAAGTCGTATATGTCTTCGAGTTACTATTTCTTGGACATCGTGAAACTTGAGCGTCATTTTAAAATAAATCTTGAATACGTGGCCGCAATGCGCGACGTTTGCGATATATAATAATCCGCAAGAGGAAATGTTATTATATTTCGGCTGTCGTCTGCTTCCGTATTACGAGGAGGAAGTAATATCCAAAGGAAAAAAAGCTCATAACATGATCCTCGTGTGGAGTCCACAATAGCTGTTACGGAGGATCAAAAGATTAACAATGGCCACCTGACGTCTATTTAATAACAGACTTCGTTATCTCGGCTTTGCAACCTCTATGCATGCATCTCGGAACTCTTTCGCCAGTCAAGCACGAGACACCATTACGCAATGCACATCTCTGAAAGTACGTTTTCCGTTTAAATGAGGCTTCTCTCTTCGTGGAGAGATTCGTTATATTGCAAAAATACAACGTATATCACCACGCTCGAGACCGATCTTAGTGTCACGTCAAAAGTGATGAAAAAAAAAAATGCGTGGACGAATCGTCTCTTTATCACGAGGAAATGACATGCCACTGTTGTTTGTATAATTGTGTCTATAATAGGGTTGCCACAAAACTGGAAATTAGGGAAAAATCTAGGAATTTTGTACAATTTTCCAGAAAATTAAAATTCTTCGCTTTAAAAAAATTTAATATGCGTACATTGCACCAACGCAATTTTGAAATATTAACTTAACAAAAATGGAAACGATGTCGGTAATGTTAATAGTGATTTACATTGCTACGTTAAATTGCTCTCTCAATATAATATTCAACGATTTCCAAATCAGGATGAAATTACAAAAAAAATTTCAAAATATTATTAAAAGCATCATAGAAAATCATGAAATATTGTCTGGGAATCAGAGAAATTTACGAAATTTAGGATGAGAGGTTGCGACAATCCCTGGTGTGTTCGTGATAAGAGATTCGCCCAAGCTCGATTTAGCAAGAAAACATTGCAACACGCGCACTCACGCGTGTCGCAAACAGCAGGTGTCCGCTGATTTTTCCGACTGCAACAATATTTAACGTCCGATCCCGTGCCGGAGCTGGAATGTCTTTCTGGCTCGATTTCCACCAGGAAGCGGGGTCAGGATGGAGAATTATCGTGGCGCCGCCGTGCCGACGTCGAAGCGAGACGTCGCGGTCGCTCGCGCGCGAATGTTTTACCGTCTCCTTTCCGTCTCCTTTCCTCTGATTCTCTGAGCTGCTCTCTTATCTTGCGCTTGAGATAGACGAGGAAGAAGATGAGAGAGAGAGAGAGAGAGAGAGAGAGAGAGAGAGACTGGGAGGAACACGACGCATGCCGGCAGTGGTGACGCCTAATTAGCGACGCCGGAAATGAGGCGTAGGCACCACGAAATTAGTCTTAGATCTTGAGATATCCACTTCGCGCCCATCTATCCGCCATTCCTCTCTCATTCTCAGCGGAATGCTTTCGCTAAATCTCTCGTGCATCCCGGACATCTCCACCGCGTCGGAACGCGTCCTGGAGGAGAACGTCGAGTAAAGCAAACTTTCGAGATAGTTGCCTGACAGGTGCTTTGTGTAACTTAATCAAGGGAAGTATCCACGAGAGAACTATCGTCGCACGCTGCTTTCATCTTACGACCGCATCTCGGTAGATTTTTCTCAATAAAAACTTTAAATGGATACTACGTCTTTTCGTCTATTTACCTTTCAATATTAAACAACTTCGAAATTACGTCTCAAGCTTCTGTGGAATTAATCGCTCCAAGATTATTTTTTAGTTGAGTAAAGATCAATTTGAACTTATCGAAGAATTTATAGACTGAGAGTAATATACTCGAGAGATACATGTAAATTTTGAATATATAATATGTACTTTCTGGGAAAAATATATATAGTACTACGCGCATAGTGATTATAATTATAAATTACGCATTCGGACCTCCATTAATATTTACAACGTTGTTTGAGATTATTATGATATCTTTTCATGTAATTACAAACTCTATTATTTAACGTTGCACGGTAACAACAGTGCACACATTTGATAAATGTAAAACCTAATATGTAACGTTGATTATTAACGTTGATTAGTGCACGCAGGTACTTCATTATTTGTGAACTGCGGAATTATCTGATGTGCAAAAACGCGACTGAGAGTTCCCAAAAATTGTTTAAATTTTTACTTTCACGCTCATTGCGATGGTATCCCCTTTCCCTTTTCTTTATCTCTTCTCCCCTCTATACATATTTTAATGAATGTATGTACGGATTAACTTCAGTAAAAATTTATATAATGGGTTGATTCAGAGAGCGGATATACAAAGAGAATATTTAAATGAAAATGTCTGTCTGCACCAACTCATGTCACTTAGTTAGAAAGCTTTTACTGATGTTAGTGTATTTTTATTCTCTACATGAATCGTGCAAATTATATAAAATTACCTACATTAAAAGAATTACGCTAACAAGAGGATACATTATAAAATGAGTTCACTACAGAAAAGTCCGGAAGAATGGAAATATTGCGGGATATATATTTTCTAAATTTTTGTAATATATCGCATCGAAGATATGATACATATTTATTCATTTTTTTAATACATGTTATACATGTTATACATGTTATATTTCTAATAAAAATTTTTTAATTACAATTTTAGGAAATTATGAACAATTTAATTATGAACGTTTGCTTTATATTGATAAGTAATTGTTTTTTATCATATATTGCAGTATGATTTGCAATTTTGAGATGGATAAAAAATCTACTTACATTTGAATCAATTTTTTATTTATCAAGTTTAACAGAAGTAGTTTATAATTATTGTACTATTCTACAATAAATCTTTTCTTCTTGTATTAACTTTTTCGCTACTGCAGTTCGCAACTTCTCATTGCGCTAATCGACATTTGCGTTGGGGTTAACGATTTATGGATAACTACCCCTCGTATCAAGCTCTAACTTCATCTCCCTGCTATGAATGTCATTATGGCGATATTAAACTAGCCGGACAATGACAAAGCTTTACAATTTAGTACGTTACGAGTAAACGTGCCGAGTTCTCACGCAGTTTCGTTTTAATAAACAGAAGATCGATCAATGACAACGATAATCTATAATAAATATTTCTATTGTATTATTACATTGCCGCATCTACTACTTCCTTAGAATAGATAGAAATAATTATTCCCGATGCAATAATTACTTCTTTGTCACGGCCAGAAGAAAAAGAAACGCGTTCTCGAATGGTTTTTTCGTTCTCCATTCATTCGCTGTAGTCAAGAGGAAACGTGAAATAGAAAAAAAGCGAATACCCGTAACCATCTCGATATTTTTATTTCCCTGCATTTCTCACAATGCCGCGTATTCTCTTCACAATCGCCATGCTCTTTACTGACTGAGCCTTCGCTTTTTGTTGCTTTCAGGGATTTGCGACCAGTGAGTTTGGAAAAAGGTCAAGAGACCCTTAGGCTCAGGGTCTATGCCTGCTACGCCTGGGGTGGGCCCTTCCTTGTCGCCGGTTTAGCTGCGCTTCTGGATCATCTACCACCTCAACCACAGTACACATTTCTGAGGCCTCGCTTCGGCGAGAAGCAGTGTTGGTTCTACGGTAAGTTCTTACCTCGTCCGGTGAACCCTTCGTCATTTCTGCGTGAACTATCTTATGGACGCGTGAACATCCATCCGTTACCCTTCTAGTTCGCCTCGCTATATCAGATTTTCATCTCCTGAAATAAGGAATTACTAAATTACAACCTGTCCAACTTATTAAAAAAATAGACGAATTCTAAAGTAGATTATTTAACTTGATTTTTAAGTAGCAAATGATTCTTAGAGATTCAGTACAGATTTTTAGTGAAACTATGGTGCCAAGAAAGCTTTTAGTCAAGTCAATGTAAAGCGAGTAGATTTATTTCTAACAAAGGATATTAGTTTTCCCTGTCAAGGGGGGGGGGGGTTCACATTTCGCGACTGAAGTTTCGTCGTTAGCAACGCGATATGAAACGGACGGTCGATATGTACCATATAAACTAGCGCACATCTCAATTAAATAGAGCTATGTGTTTGTTACACGGCTAGCGTAATGATGCAATTGGGGACGAATTACTTGTCGGACGATATATATGTATAGTTCGAGCTAGATCATTGCTCTAATTAAACTTGGCGTATAGCTATAATCCAGACTCCCTTTCGACGATACCGTGTCCGCAATAATGCATTATTATAGACACCGAAATGCGCTATTCTTGCAATTCAAAACGACCGATCGATCTAATGGGAATTATTTACCACGTCTGCAGTAATTAATAACTGTGATGCATTCGTTTCCCTTCAGACTAGCTCCACGCCATGGGGAAGCCTTTACTATCCTCGTTATCAATAAATGATTCAACCACTCGCAAGCCGAATAATCGATCATTTGCTTGACGATTAATATCAACGCATAGAATGTGTCTCATCCTTGTGAATTAATTAATTTCCTTGCTGCAATTAAAACCGATATTAATCATCCAGGAGGGTATACGAGATCGCTTATCAACCGATTTATTAAGATCAGCTATCTTTAATATTATTACGGAGATTAATATTATTTTATCTATTTTTGCTTATTTTATTTTATTCGTTTCAGTTTATCTTCTCGATATGCACCGATCAAGTTATTGTAACATGCGCCGATCGAGTTATTCATTTAATGTATTTTAATGAATCATATGCAGAGTTAAAAATTGACAAATTCTTCGTCTTTCTGAAAATTTAAATATAGGTATCTCATCTTTCTTTTTCTTACAATTTTTATAAATTTTAATCTAAAAAAAACAAAGCATAAGTGCTTGAAACTAAAATCATTTTAGTAATAAGATATCGATTTGACAGACAATAATGGAGCTTATTATCGAAAGTAATACGTTGCGAGCAGACCGTTATCCGACAATCCCTTGTGATCCGATTATTCTGCCAATTAATAGAACTGGTCATCCGCGCTCTCACAGTGCCGATTAAATTGGTTTTGTTAATCGATCGGTCGTGTCGAATTAATTGCTAATGAAGTACCATCATTCGACACCGACGCGACCAATGCCGAAAAATAAAATGATGTCGCGAAATGTAATCGTTGTTACGCACGCATAAATCAGTGATTATCTCGAAAGATTTCATTTTTTTCTTATTGAATTCTAGTTGTTTTAAAATCTTTATTTTTATTCCCGGATTATTCTCCGCGGATAAATAACTATTGAAAGTATCGGAAAATTGGTATTTCCATTTTTTTTGCAGTGAACAAACTAGGTTCAGATTGACGGGAGGGAAATCCACGGCTCAAAAAAGTTATTTGAATACATGCGTATTTGAGCTTTTATATAAAGAAATACACGTGTAAAGAATACATGAAAACGTTAGGTACTTCCATTTATACAATATAAATATATGCATTAATACATCATTAGTGCAGTTGAGTGAGATTGCCACTCGACTCGCGCAAGAGGATTACACGCTCCCTGAAATATTACGCAGGACGTACAAACCGTGTACATCCTCGTACGATTTCTCCCTCCGAATGGGTATATAATTATCCATGCGTGCAAATAATCGATTACAATAAGGAACAGAACGTTGTGTCGGCGGCCGTTGCGTCGGCTTCTGCGTGCGGCGCATTAACGAGCGCGGATACTTTCGTAAGCGGATTACGCGTCGGCCGAAATATTGTATTTAAGTATAACGTAAAGGGCGAACCGAAGATCGATACCTCGCCCCCAAGCGCCTTTAATACCCCGGATCCCCAATAATAACCGACAGACGCGGCCTGCCTGCGGATCTCCCTGTGAATCTCTCGCGGGTCGAACAGAGATAATAAGGTTCAACATCGTAACGGCGACGAGGAGAGGGGAGGGGAGGGGGGGGGGCATCTCTGTTCGTTGCGTCAGATTACGGATTGTTGTGCCCGGCCATTTAACGACCCGTTTCCCTGCGTAATTCACATCCCGCAATCCCAATCGCGTAACGCTGCTTCGCGTCCTAAAGTTCACCTATAGATGCGCAAACACACCGTTCGGCGTATTAATTACGTCAGGCCGCGATCCACGCCGCTCGCATCCCGCTGATTAACGCTCACTTTTTACATGCCGAATCCGCAGGCCCACCCCTGTCGCGGGGTGCCAGAGATTGCAATTACAAACAACCAATCCACCTCGTCGCCGCATTCCTCGACCACGACCACCCGCGTGTGCGGATGAGAGGATCGATTTTTCCCCATTGGAAAAAAAAAGGAATATCAAAGAGCCGGCAGAGATAATAATTATCGGCGCCTCCTGATTGCACGCGCGCGATGCGCGTATTTCGATTTGGTAAACTCTGCGAAATTGCTTATAAAATTGCAACGAAACTGCAATAAAATGTCGTAAGATTCGTATCGGTTAAGAGAAATAAACCTATTTTCTGTTAATACGGATCTTAAAATTAGTGCTTCATGAAATATATTTAAAAATTTATTTTATATACCATATCCAATTCTGCAAAGTGCGCCGAAATTATTATCTTGTTCAATCTTAAAATGCAATCATGAGTAAAATAGTAATATCATATATTAAGTTAACAAGCTAATAAGGATAACATTTGCTTATTTATCAATTTAATATATGGTATTACATTAATTCTATTTCTATTTATAATTTCAAGACCGTAAAAGATTTTGGCGCGCAGTTTATAGAATTGGATATGTATAATATAAATTCACTCTGAAATATTAAGATCCGCTTTGATCGAAAACAGATTTATTTCTCTTAATTGATTTATTCTCACCGGTACGAATTGTAATTGTGATTATATATCCGTAATCTTTCGAAAAATCCGGAAAATAAATCGCGTTGACACTTCTAGATCTATAAATCAGAATTATCTACGTATCATTTGTCACATTGTTTTGTTTCCAAAATTTTTATTCAAAAATTTCAGAAAATGAGGACGAATGTTTGTACGAACCGACTATAATTCATCAATATCATACAATGTGATCTCTTTCTTCTCTTTTCCAAATATTCAATTTTACTTATTTCTAGAAAGCTCACCATGTCTCAAAATGATGAAAGAAAGAAAGAAGAGGATATTTCACAAACCTTCAACCTTCTTTCACTGTGTGATCTCGCCTTTTTTTACCAAAGACATCTGACAAAAGCGACAAGTGTGCAAACTGCGCACAAAAGCTACACCTGGAGGGGCAAAACTGTTCTATCCGTTCGAAATCGGAATAATAGTACCTCATGAGGGACTATGTTGGACCATCACGAGTTGTTTTCCCTGACACAATGCTCCTGCAGGAGACGAAGGGTGCCGCCTGCGCCACAACCACCAGGCAGCGACCCTTTTCCTCCTCACCCACGCTATAACGGCACTCTATAACTGCACAGGCTGAAACGATAGGGTAGAGAGATAAACCTGGCGCCAGCTAGTCCAACCCCATCGTCGCGCGAAACGGCCGAAACCCTCGTTCTCTCTGCCTCGAAGCCCGATTATACGGCCCGTACTAATAGGAATGCGTGTATGCACGTTTAAATGGGCCCTGAGACCATCCCCTATTTTACGTTTATATTCCCTTGTTTCTTGACTTATATTTAACGTCATCGAAACGATAATGACACCTTTAGGTATCCTCGATAACATTAAAAAAAAGGTGCATAAAGAGTCGATTTGAATTTATTCCTATTTTTTTTTTTAAAGGTAACTTCTACACGATTAATAATACTGATCAGTAATATTGAATCAGTAATACAGTATGCATTAATAAGTATTTTTACAATCTTACCGAATCAGTATTATTAATAATATTTCACTTTAGTTTTACGTATATCATCTATTATACTATAATATATTGTGACATTGATCCTAATTTAAAGCGATACTGATGCTCGAGAATTAAAGTCAAAATCATTGTCAGTATTCTACATCAATCCACCAATATTAACCATACATGATTAGTAACATTGTTAATACATATATTTATTAATACTGACAGTATTATTGACCGTATAAAATCATCTTTACAAAAATATCTAGACATAGTGTGTGTATAAGTGAATAACAATTAGCGATAAAAACTAAGAAATTATAAGGAATTTATAATTGATGAAATGAATTTTAGATATTATCTCTTGAGTAGTATAAATCATAAACTAATTTTAATTTTTGTCATATGTAGCAATTTTTGCTATAAAAATCCGTCTCCAAATTAATAAAATATATTCCGATATATTTATATAGTTAGAAAAAGATCAAGATTTACCGCATAATTTAATTCAATGCAATAATATTTCTATCTTTGTGGATGGTAATTTAAGTGGATTAAAGGGGTAAAGTGCGAGTAGCACTTTATAAAATCTTATAAAAGGAGTTTTATGCTTGGACGTTATGTATTACTGATTTATAGCAATAGAATCACTTTTGTGAAATTAGAGTAAGTAACGGAATAGGTATATTTATTATCGTTATTACTATTATCAGTTTGATATAACTGTCACCCGAGAATTCAAGGTTATTCTGATAACCCGGTCGCAGCCAAAGCAAAATTACCATGTGAAATTCATGGAACTCTCCTCGCTTTTCGCGCACATACATGAATAT